TTAATTAACTTGTGAAAGTTCTTTAGGCTTGGTTTGTTTCTGCTATTAAAAACAGCAGCAACTGAGAACACTACCTTGAAATAAAGTCATTGTAGTTGTACCCTGTGCTAAAATTTAACATTAAATTGTTAAAATTTTATTGGGATAGATGAGACAGCTCAAATGTTAGATAAGATCTAAATTACTGCCTGTTGTGATGAAAAAAAAAAAGATTCCTCTTAAGGTAAATTGAACATATTTTTGTTGAACTAAAGGTTTAACTGGCTGCCGATTACAGGGGTGAAGCAAGAACGGATGTCTAGTTACCTTCTGTTTAACAATTTAGGACTAAATAAGGTTGTAGGTCATCAAGTGGTTTTATGTTGTCGATGTGTACAACCCCACATAAAGTTTTATTGGGTTGCTCAATAATACAAATGGAAAATGTTTCTATTTCTGTGTCCAGGAGGACAAGCTGAATGCTCTGATCAAGGCTGCTGGAGTCACTGTGGAGCCATTCTGGCCAAGTCTGTTTGCCAAGGTAAGAACGCAGCACTTAGAAATTATGTAAGATCATAACTTTCAGCAAACGGCATTGGATAGTTTAGCTTTATCATCTCTAAAACTTGGCAGAATGTAAACATCTTCTGAACTTTTCATTGATCGTTGATGTGTCCGAATTGAATCTGGAAAATTTAGAATTAAATCCAGTGGCTGCCAAAAAATAGTGGTGATATTTATCTTAAGATAAACTGCTGGGACTCTTGATTGACCAAGAGCTGGATAAATGAGGTAACTTTGAATTCTGTCATTGCAGGCTTTGTCCAGCATCGACATCGGCAGTCTGATCTGCAACGTCGGAGCCGGAGGAGGCGCGCCAGCAGGGGCGCCTGCTGCTGGAGCTGCTCCAGCTGGTGGTGATGCCCCAGGTAAACGACCTCAGCATTTTCTTATTATATTACGGATGTGGTCACATTCATGTACTTTTCCACAATTTGAATGTGATTTAATTCCAAAACGGTGTCTCTCCAAGTGTTATAAGCTATACTTTTGCATATGACTGAAAAATCGTTTTCAGTGTAGATTCTGCAATGTCATATTTGTGTCTCTAAACTTTTTATGTTCATCTCTGCAGCTAAAGAGGAGGAGAAGAAAGAGGAGAAGAAGGAAGAGTCCGAGGAGTCAGACGACGACATGGGCTTTGGTCTCTTTGATTAAAATGGCTGTTTTTTTAAGAAAACACAATAAAAGTATAAAAAATCAGTATATCGTCTGCTTGCTTGCTCTGTTGGTGTCTATTTATTTATTGGCTTGTTGCATTATTAAGGTTCTGTAAAGTGCCGTGGTAATAATTGAAAACAGTAAATGGATCTTCAGTGAGATAGTTTAAAAAAAAAGTGAAGACAGTAACAAAACCTGACTGATGGGGAAGAAATGCTTTGCAATAAATTGGTTCAAGGTTGTGGGCATGCATCTCTGCAGATTGTAGGAGTATCGGTTCATTCCTGACAGGTAAAACATGTAATCCAGCAGTAAACACCCTACTATGTTCGTTGCTACACACAGTAAAACCACAACCTTATAAGTTGTGTAATTTCAAAAATGTAGGAACATGGAATTTGGCTGCATACATTTCGAACTGAATGTTAAAAAGACATTGCTGTAATTCCAGTCTGCCACCAGATGTCACTGTTGCCCTCACCGAAGACCCCAAACCGAGGTTTCTGATCAAGTATGGTTCAAATTATGAACGAGAATGTCACGCATTTAATGTTGGTATCCTGACTCGACTTGTGTAAATAAACTGTAATGTTAATGTAAAGCGAAGTTGTTGGGAACTGCTGAAATCCAATGAAGAACAACCGCGATTATTGGATGAGACAGCGCCCCCATCTCTCCCTAGTGGCCAAAAAGTGTGTTACATCCGTAAGGATAAGAACTACCATAGACAATGAATGCGAAAAGTTAAGAGATTAAAGATTTGGAGGTCCACGAGGTACAATCGGGTAAAATACTTTGCTTTTTGTATATGTACCAATCAAAACAACAGAAACACCAGGCGTGCTGCTTATAGCTTGACCGTTATTTTGTCTAATTTGAGTAGTAAACATATGTGCTGTAATGCTGAAGCCATTAACCGGAAGTACACAGAACGAATCAGAAAAAGCTTACACACCTCAGGGTGATACATCGTGGGTTTCCGTAGTGTAGTGGTTATCACGTTCGCCTCACACGCGAAAGGTCCCCGGTTCGAAACCGGGCGGAAACATATTTTTGTTCGTTACATCTCACCATATTTTCCTCTTCCGCACACGCACAAATCCTTTTAAACACGCACAGATATTTTGAGACTATTTTCACTCCATATATGACGCTATAATGCGCATTTTAACCACTAAAAATCCTAACACGGTGAAAATATAAGGGACTGCCCCTTCAGATAAAGTAAGCTAATGCTGTAATAAAACAGTATTTCAAGCCTTGGAAAACTCAAAAAATGAAAGTATTTAAAAAAATTATCATTTCTGGTAATTGCATTTATTTCAGGGATATAAATTGTTGGTTTAAAGGGCCACTATAAACCAACAATTTAATTTATTTTCATTCGCGGTTCGTCAGCAGAATATCTTATTTTCGTTGTACTTAGTAGCCATAATTAGCACATTAATAAACAGACGGTAAGCTAATCATTTGGGTTAGCTTTAAATCCAAATAAAAACAAAAACATGTTTGGATGTCCGAAAGTTTTTGAGACAAACATCCAGAACTTACCTTCAGTCTCGGAGGTGCTTCGCTAATGTTGCACGATGTACCAGAACGTGCAAAAAAATAAAAACACGTTCAGTATCAAAATGAAAATGGAGTTCTACAAAATAATTTCAAGTGAATTTAAAGTATTGCATAAGCCCATGCAGACATTAAGTGGAGAATTCACCCACTAAGCAACGTCTCAATCAGGCCGGCGTCACATCGCTGCAGTTTTTCTCCGTTCTTCCCTAAAAAACAGCTCAAGCTGAGTCGGTCACAGTTATTTCAGTGACTTGTGTTCCTCTCTTCATCTACAAGTCTCCAAAGACTGATGGATCAGAACCAGGTCTGGAGTATGAAGCTGCCAGTATCAGGCTTCACTGTAGCGACAGGGTGTTTGATTACCAAAAATGCTAATTTTGTCCCATAACGTCTTCTTAAAATTTCTCACCTTTGGGTGAATTCTAGATGAAGACATTTAAGAGTTGTTCTATCAAAATCAAATACTTTAAACTGTTATTTTATTTAAACATTTTTTTCCTTTAAGATTATCTGTATCAGCTAAGGAATAATCATCTGGGTTTGTTTTGCTGCCATGGGAGAAGGTATCTTTTCCAAGAATAAAATATTACCATCTGCCAAGGTACATCTTGTAACAACAATTCGTCAATTCGTACCCACCTTGGGGTCGTCAACTTCTGCTTTTTGGAACCGGTTGCTCAAAGTAAATTTTGTTAATCTCCTCAGAGGCTACTGTGAAGTTTTTGGGTTGCATGATTCAAAAAAAAAAAAGCACTTACCTTGTCTCAGCTGCCAGAGAAAAAAAGTGGCTTATAGCCATTTTCAGTTTGATTAAAGCCTTATTTCATAAGAGTCAGCTCATCCACACAGCGCAGTGAGCGCAGTCAGTGACGATAGGGGATAGTAATGACTTTTCTCTCGATAATTTATGACAAAGCTGAACCTCCAAGAGAACGAAAGCATGTGGTTACAAAATAGTTCGTATTCGGGTATAAAATAGGAGCAAAGAAGGTTTTATTGTTGGCTTGAAAAATAGGTTGACTTAAACCAAAGCTGACTTGCACATTTTGTAGTTGCCGAGTCCAACTCAAACTGGGTTATGGCCGACTACAACGATCCAAAACGCAGCGGCAAATCTGCAACAAACGGGTGAATAAAGTGGTGTAATGGCCCAGTCAAAGCTCAGACCTAACCTCAATTGAAATGCTTTGACAAGCGCTAAGTGCAGTTTCAATAAATTAAACAAACGGTGTTCTGATGGTTGAGCTGCAAAATGAAGACAACTGGCAATGCTTCTTTTTAATAATAATAATAATAATAATAGTGTTTTATTTGCTTGGTTTAGCAACTATACAAGTGTCTCCTTCCTGAGAAAACTGCTCAGCACAGGGGAGAGGGAAGAAACAAGGAACTAAAGAATTGGATAGGTAACAGAGAAATAAAGATGCAAAATAAGACAGAGACAAAAAGCAACTCCTGTGTGGAGAGGGAGAGAAACAGGACAAACATGGGGGGACTTTCTTTTTACAACATCGTATTTTTAGTTCAGCTCTCTAGCCAGTTGTAACAACAATGATTCACGCTGAGAAAAGCAGTTTCTCCAAAACTGGAAACATTTCTGCTAAAAAAAAAAAAAAAAAAAAAAGAGAACGGTAATTCATTGATTTAACGATGCATACTTCATGTTAGTGAGAGGACTGTAGATCATTTCAGTTTGTTTGAAATTCTAAATAATGACGCGGCCCTAGTCAGTCAAATGGCAAACATGTGGCTCAGGAAGTCCTAACGTCTCTTCTCTGTCTGTCCCCTCCGCTCCGCCCTCAGCCTCCTCTCTCCACGTTTTCTTACAGTTCATAACTCAGATTTATGTTAAATATAAACCTTCTCTTTGTATATTAATATTTATGTTAAGTTAAACAGTGTAAGGTAGCAGTTTTCGATGTTTTTCCGCTAAGAAAAAAAAAAACTGTTGCTATAAAAAAAGAAAAACAAATCATCTGTCATGCCACCTGAGATAAAGCGATCTTTAGGGGCGGGGGAAATGAGATGTTATGACTTTAGCGGGCAGCTCTACTGTAAATAATTACTCATATATTGTTCAAAAGGAAGACTGGGGATCTAACGGACATACTGCAATGATCAAGGTAGATAACAACAACAATATAGTTACAAAAGCACATTTAAAAACATCTTCATTGTCCCTTTCAACATGGCTTCAGTTCCACTTTTTTTGTTGTGACATCCTTCAAATCCTTTGTTTTTCTTTTTCTCATCAGTGATAGTGTTTCTCCGGATACATGACCAAACAATGTAGAAAACACAAAAAAAAAAAAAAAATGGACCAAAACGCGAGTTTCCAGAAAGAAGGGAAGCTGTGGATGTTGTTCAGAGGAGAAAATGAGGGCTGATTGTTTCAGTCATGTCTGCCGTCCACACATCTGCCCCTTGTTTTCCTCTATCCGTCGCAGATATCCAACGAACGGCCCGCGTACGGATCCGCCTGGATCCAGGACTACTGTGGGCGGATCTGGCTGATCATCTTGAGTCGCGACTGGTCGATGACGTCCAGCAGGTTCTTGGCGTCGACCGCCAGAGCGTGAGCTGCCATTAGCATCTGTTTCTTGTAGTCCTTTTGTAAACTGTCCAGAACAAACACAACTTACATAATCTGTAAAAAGAAACATCTTGAACGAGTGAAACATTTAAACCGCGCGGGTCCTCACCTCGTCATGACGTACTGTTGCGCCAGCTTCATCTTTGATATTAACTCGGCCAAGTCAGAATTCAGCAGCTTTTGGGCCATTTCAATCTGTCGGAGCGCAAAGTGCAGGGATGTAAGTAGCAGGAGTGGCCTGCCTGTTCAAACAGCCTTAAATCCAATCTGAGCTTCGGAACATTTGGTGACATAACAAACAGAAACGTCAATGTATTTTACTGGGATTTTCAGTGGAAGTCCTACTGAAAGGGGAGCTTCTCCTCAAAATAAAACCTCACTTGGGTTTTCTTTAGGAACTGCCTGTATTTTAGCTCTCACACCTTTACTTAATTCCTTCATCTGATTGAAATGTATTCAGAGTGTCAATCGTGATAAACTGCCCCTCTCATCTGGGAAACAATTTAATTCCACCTGAGCCGAATCCCACCAGAATATTTCTGAGCAGCGACACAGTTTTATTTGGTTGTATATTCCAGTTAATTATGTCCATGTTAGTCTTCTGACACATGTAGCCAAATACTGTATTGTTTTTTGTCATTTAGAAGTTTTGCACTTGTGCTTTTTTAAGGCTCAAGATTAAGTTTTATAACTTAAACCTGCTTTAAACCTCTCCACAACTTTCTCCCTGACATTGTGTTTGTTGGTCTTCATGATGCTGTTTGGTCACTAACACACATCAGAAATGTTTAAAGAATTATACTGAAATTAAACCAGACATATCTGGACTCATTTACTAATAAAGTGACTTCTGCTGAAAGTGCTGGATTTCATTTTAGGAGCGTCAATCTAAATGGGGTTGAATTCACACATGCACTCCACACTTTTTTGGGACATTTCCAAATATCTTAAGGTCCGTGACTGAACGGTGACAAAATGTAGAAAAATCTCAAGTGGTACAAACACAGAGACTGTGTTTGTAGTCAAGCTCAGTCATGAATGATCTGCATATGATTACAGGTTCTCATGGTAACTCGCGCTTCATCTCTGGGCGGATACCTCTCTGTGTGTGCTGGCTGGCAGCACAGGAATCGTTTCATCCACCGTTGCCAGGAGAGTCCTCAGAGCCAGACCGACATCCTGCCAAAGCAAACATCCGCGTTCGATGGGGTTTCACTTTCGAATGTTTTATTTGACCGCGTCGATAGCCGGTCATTACCTTGACCATGGGGACGTACTCCTCTGGCGCAGCAGGCTGGATCCTGTTGGACATTTCAATCACGGCTTTGACCAGCCCCGTCACATTCTCGTACACTTTGTCGTTCGAGCGGTCCAGGTTGGCAGTGGGGGGTGGGCTGATCTCCTGGGGCTGCAGCTGGAACGGTTGGTCACAGCGTGAGCACGGATTCGTCAACACGTCAGCAAATAGATTAAGTTAGTTTTTCTTGCAAATGCTTTTCTGAAATTAGATCCTCTAAGAAGAAAGAGCTAAATGTTTAAAACCCCCGCAGCTTTCGACTGCTATGGTCAGAGTATGTGGCTGCAGTACAGGAGTCTCAACACTGGGTGGCAGTGCGTGCAAACGAGTAAAAAAAAAAAATTCAACATGCTCTAAATGACTAGATGGAATTTCTACAGAGTGAAAAGTACATGAGGTGTTCATTTGGACCAGTTCAACCTGCAATGAAGTGATTTTTACACTTACATTCTAAATACTATATTACAAAGACAGAAAACCTGTAGGAAACACCAATAATCTCAGCAGTAGATTAACATACTGCTTTCATAGTTTTAATGAAATTCAAATTAAATGTTTTCTGCCCTGCTCTTTTAATTTGCCTCTGGTGTAGAAATCACTGTCACATGTTAAGAATGGAGGTGATGGTAACCATCAGCTAACTAACTCTACACACACACACACACACACACACACACATCCGCTTACCCTCCATGGCTATGGGCAGTTATGAAGGTGTGTTTGAGTGCAGAAAAGTTGGAAGGGATTGTAGAGTGAATGGTGTGAAAAACAAAATAAGCAAGTAGTTGTGTGATTCAATGAGTGAAAGGATGCAAAGGAGCATGTGACAAGGAAAAAAAAAGGTTTGAAGAGAAGGAGAGTTAAGAGAGAGGAGAGAAAAAGGAAAGCACATTAGGGCAAAAGCCAACCAAAGGTAAGCATTACAAGGCAAAGCATAATGATTTTATATATAAAATCCAGATTTTATATATATATATATATATATATATATATATATATATAAAAT